ATCCATGAGTATAGCCCCTGACTCCAAAGCAGCCCCTGTATTTTACCCTTATCTGACCTACTTGTGATCAGAATATTCAAAGGTGCTTGAGATGTTCAACCTGGATTACTGCATTTATTAATTGATTTCTATTTGCCAGGCAACTATCATATGCCAATCTCTAGTAGGCACTAGAGATACAAAACCAAAAATAATAACATAGTCTTTGCCCTCGAAGAGCTTACAATTTTCTAGGAGGAAATAAGTACACAAACAAGGAAACACAAAATACATCCAAAGCAAATTCAAAGTAATTAGTGGGGAGAGATCAACAGCAACTTAGAGAGCTCAGAACAGGCCTTATGTAAAAGGAGGCACTTGAACTGAGTCCTAGAGGATTTTAGAGATTCTCTAAGGCAGAGGTGAAGATGGAGCACATTCTAGGCAAGGGAGATGACCTGTGCAAAGACACAAATATGGGAAATGGACTGTTATATATAGGGAATAGAAAGTAAGCTCAGTTTGGCTGGAATATAGATGGTGGGAAGGAGAGTCTAATTATTCATGAAGTAATCAGCTGGACAGGTAAGTAGCATGACTATCCAAAGTCAGATCAGATAGGGGGTCAAAGCCAGGAGGATTGTAACAGCAGAGTATATAATCCTGGTCCCTTGCTCCTCCATATCAAGGTTTTAGTCCTTTACTAATATTCTTTCCCAGGATGAATTCCCATGGGCAATCCTCTTCTTTCTAAAGGACATTCAGGAAATTCCCCTTACCTGAACGGACATTTAGATCTCTGAGCTCTCAAACTTGGCAAACCCTGAGGTTAGTGCTACCCAGGAAATCTCCTTCCTCTGGCTAGAAGGCCAAATTCTAGCTCTCTGGGCTGTGCGCTCTCAATAAATTCTGTGAAAGGTAGTAGAATATAGTGGATAGAGAGCTGGTCTCAGAGTCAAGAAGACCTGAGTTCAGGTCCTCCCTGACAAATACTAGCTGTGAAATTAAGCAATTCACTTTACCCATCAATGCCCAACCCCCTCACCCCTTGAAGATAATAAGTTGTAGAACAGTTGCTGATCTGCATTGATAGGAGTTTCCTCATCACCTAACCTACCTAGATTGACGAAATCCCAAGTCTAGATTCTCCACCCCACCCCACCCCACCCCCAAGAAAAACACCTGTAGTGACATCAACAGAATATGAAACTTAGTCTCTGTTCCTTAAAATTCTGAATCTGGAGGAAGCTAGGTGGCTCAGTGGATAGAGCACTGAACCTGGAGTCAGGAGGACCTGAGTTCAAATCCAGCCTCAGACACTTGACACTTACTAGTTGTGTGACCCTGGGCAAGTCACTTAACCCTGATTGCCTCACCCAAAAAAAAATATTCTGAATCTGAGTAGTAGAGTCTACATATCTGAACAAAATAAAAAAGAAAGATTTTGATTACCACAGCCTTAGCTTAAAGGGAAACATTTAATACTTTTGAAGTTCCCCCTTGTCTTCTCTTTGCTTACCTCCCCCATGTGCATGTGCTCATGCACACACACATACACACACACACACACACACACACATATACACACACACATACACACACACACACACCTGGAAAAAGAATATGGGATAGAAATGAGGAAGAAAATGAGCTGCATGTAACCTTCTAAGAGTGTCTTCACATCTCAGGATAGGCCTAGAAAATGTGCCACTGCATCTAGTAAGTCCTGAAGTCTCCAGGAGCAGTCACTGTATACAAAGTTTTATAGACTGTAATGCTCCTTGAGAGCAGGGAAATTTTCATTTCCATCTTTGGTATCCCCAGAACCTAGTGTCCCTAGAACCAGTAGCACCAAGACAACATGGTATAGTGGATGAAGGGATAGCCTCAGAGTCAGGAAGACTTGTATTTAAGTCTTGCCTTTGACATATTCTGGCTGCATGACCCTGCCCTGGTCACTACACAGTAACCTCTCAATGCCCCTGAGCAACTGCCTAAAACAGTTGCCCATCTGTATTGGTGGAGGAAGTTCATTCAATGGGAATCCCTCTATAACAATTAAATCATGTATCTGTTCCAAAAGAAAAAATCCTCAGTCCCTTTTCCACAGGAGGCACTGAATGGCTATTAAATTGAAATATGTGTTGTGGGAGGTTACAAGTCGAGTAATAATGGTACTAAGGAGAGTTATTACACCGTCTTACCAGCTCCCACCCTTGTGTGTGGTGTCATTCCTTCCCAAATATATTTTCATTGGGCCATCATTTCTCCATAGTCACTCTCTCAGCTCCTCCCCTAAGGCATGGCTCAGTTTTTCTTTTAAGCCAGCTTGAAGAAAAAAAAAATAATGGGAAGAGTAAGTGACTGAGACTCACCTCTCATACTAGCCTATTTCAGTGTAACTTCCCCTAACCACAGCTGCTAATCTATCTGACTAGAAAAATCTGGGTTTAAATTTCTCTCTTTGTTCTGGGAAGATGAAAAATTGAATCAATAATTCCCTTGGATACAGCCCTGAGCCCCTAGCCCAGAAAACTGCTCTGGTCAATATATATTGTCATTACAACATCTATTTCTCTAATCTCTTCCCAGGCATTCCATTCCCACAATGCCTCTCTCTGTTACATTTGAATAATGAAACATTTAGATCAGTAATGCAATGGTTAACCACATTTCTCTTAAAAACCAACTTTAGGGGCAGCTATGTGGCACAGTGAATAGAGCACCAGCCCTGATTCAGGAGGATCTGAGTTCAAATCTGGCCTCAGACACGTAACACTTACTAGCCGTGTGACCCTGGGTAAGTCACTTAACCCCACTGCCTAGCCAAAAAGAAAAAAAAAAGAAAAGAAAAAAAAACAACTTAAAAGATAAGATGAATAGAAAGGCAAAAATAAAATTTAGTGAAACAGAAGTAAGTTTTGGAAATTGACATATGTTCTCCCATGAAAGAAGCAGAAGGGGAAGAGATATGTAGAGTAAGAAATCATCAGCCCTAAGTCTGTGTCTGCGAATGAGTTCAGAAAAAGAGGATCCTCCCAGACAGGCCTTATGGCCCTGGAGCTCTAAGCTGGCAACCTTCTCACAGCCCTGATCCCTCAACTTATTCTCCCAGTATTCTGTTTCCCTGTTTGTCAAGCCACTGTCTCTAGAATGCCTTCTTCTCTGCAGTTTCTCTTAGGCTTACCTCACTGCTGGTACTCTCACTCTCACATACTTACTCTCAATCACTGGGCTGCTCCCAAGTCTTCTGCCTTCATCTTCCCTTCAGGGTAGGAGGGGCTAGATTATCAGTCCAAAGCTGGCTCCAGTAAGTCACACAGCTCCCCAAGATATCAAATAAAGGAACTCTGGAGATTTTCCACTGACCATTGGTCATTCACGTGGAGAGTCCTGTTACACAAGGAAACAGAAGATAAGGTTTGCTTTCTAGTTGTCTATTGCCTAGTAGGGAAGACAGGGTGCACACACATGAAACAACTGAAGAACATTTGTGTGAAGCAACATATTCAGACATGTTTCTCTTTCTTCTCTTCAGCTTAGCTGGTTTTCAGCACTTTCTAAAGAGACAGGGACAGGTCACTATAACACGTTCAAATAACATTAGAAAGGCCAAGCATATCCTCTTTATGTTCTCCAGAAAGACATCATTGTTGGTCTTCTGTATTAGTGATTTAAAAGAGAGACCAGATGAGGCAGGAGAAGGAATTTGGGTGGTTTGGTATTTCTTCTTACAATCAATGTGTTGCAGTGGATAGAATTCTGCACTTGGAGTCAGGAAGACCTGAGTTCAAATTCTGCCTCAAATATTTACTTAGCTGTGTGACTCTGGGTAAGGCACTTAACCTCTCTAAGCCTCAGTTTTCTCATCTGCAAAATGGGGATAATAATAGCACTTGCCTCACAGGGTTGTTGTAAGGATCAAATAAGACAACCTTGTAAACCTTAAAGCACTACATGAATGTTAGCTATTATTATTAGAACCATAAGTAAATTATTTTCATGGGATATAGTCATTGATGAAAAATGACATGTAAGAAACCAAAAAAGGAAAGACACTTGTGAAAAAAGATGGCAAGGATCAAAACTTCTGATCCTTACCCTTATCAACAGCTTTCTGAGCTCAGTTCTCCAAGTAATCCTTTAAGATAAGTTGCACAATAGATGCCAATATGTCAGTAGATGTAAAGAGGGTTTCTTCACAAGAATTTCTCTACACCAATGAAATCACAGATTCATACAAAAAATAAATTCACTTCAGTCCAGACCCATGAATTCTGAATTAATGATTGAACTGCAAGGTCATCCTACCATCTCCTACTGTTCATTCTTTTCCCAGCTATCCCTCATACCTGGGATACTCCCCAGCCTCACCTGTACCTGTTAGTATCCCTGGCTTCCTGCAGTGCTAAGAACACTGGCATCACCTCTGGGAACCTTTTCTGATTCTCCTAGTTGTTAGGGCCTTCACCCTCTTCAAATTTCTTTGTAGCTCTGCCAAAGAGAAATAACTCCAGATGCCACCTGGCGCTACTTTCTGCCAATGAGGAAGCCCATGGGCTAGGCAGTATCTGAGGTTATTTTCTCTTAGCAGAACTTGTTATCAAATTGGTACCCAGGATACATCTTTATATTTATTTATCCATGTATATGTTGTATCCCTCAGGAAAATATAAGTTCACTGGAGTCAGAGATCATTTCATTTTTTGTTCTTGTATCACCAGTTCCTAGCACAGTGCCTTACCCAGAATAGACACTTAATATTTATTGAATTGAACTAGTGGGATATAAATTAGCAAAGCTTTATGGGATTTGCCTTTGACCTATGGTATAATCATGGAATCATTTATTCTTTTCCTTTGAGAATATTTTTAAATGTTTTGCTATTCTCTGGGTGTTTTCAATTCTAGGACAAAGCTAATACAGCATTATCAACTTGGACTTTGCTCAACCTCAGATATAAAAGGGGAGAGATGGAAGTGCTAGGTCCAACACCATCACTGTGTCTAAGCTCTCGAGACATGGAGGTGCACAGATGTCTTGCTCTTCTGCTTATCCTACTGAGCCATGTTGCCTGCCCTCCTGTCTCCAGGACAAAGAGAAGCTTTAATAAGTTGCTTGTGATTTCCTTTGATGGGTTTCGCTGGAACTATGATCAGGACATTGACACACCTAACATGGATCTCCTTGTAAGGGAGGGAGTGAAGGCCAAGTATCTCACTCCACCATTTGTCACCATGACGTCTCCATCCCATTTCACCACCATCACTGGTAAGTTCTGATCCTTCAGCCAAGGGGGACTTTTTTTTTTAAGTAAGTGAAACCACAAGGCCCATGTTAACATTCTCCTTCCTGATTTTCTGTCATTTTTCAGTCACATTCAACTCTTTGTACCCCAATTGGGGTTTTCTTGACAAAGATATTGGAGAGGTTTGCTATTTCCTTCTCCAGCTCATTTTATAGATGAGGAAACAGGCAAACAGGGTTAGATGACTTACCTAGGGTCACACAACTAGTAAGTGTCTGAGGCCAGATTTCAACTCAGGAAAATGAGTCAGTCTTCCTTGACTCCAGACCTGGCACTCTATCCATTTTGCCACCTAGCTGCCCTATCCTTCCTGAAAAAATGTATCTAATTCCCAAACAGCTATAGTACTAGAAGACTATGATAGCCTGTTCATCTCAAAAATATTATTACTTGAATAATTATTATTTAATTTATTATAATAAATAGATAATATAATAGATAATAATGCAGTTATGGTATTATATTAATAATTATTTAATTATTAATAATTATTATTAATTGAATATTTACCCTAGTAGGTATGGGATGTAAGTGCTGTGCCTGAAACTCAATTTGCATGTATCACTGCACTGTGAGGGATACATAAAGAAGAGTTTAGCATTCATGGGATCATAGACTTAGAATAAGAAGGAACTTTAAGCAGCCAATTCCCTCAATTTACAGATGAGGAAAATGAGGACCAGTAAAGTTAAGTAAGTTACCCATGGTCACATAAGTAGTATCAGAAGTGAAACTGGAATCCAGGCCTTCTGACTCTAGACCCAGTGTCCTTTCCTTTACAGCATGTAAATTCCTCAGACATCTAAATTTGACACACTACTGCTATTGCACTAGCCTTATCGCCACTTATGTAGTCAACGAGACATGGAGGTGCACAGGTCTAATTCAGGCCCTTGCCCCCTCTCTTCTGGCCTATGGTGATAGCCTTCTAACTGCTCTCTTTACCTCTAGTTTCACCTCCACCAATATAGCCTTCACACAACTGCCAAAATCATCTTGCTGAGACAGATCTAATCATATCACTCCCATGCTCAAAAGTCTTATGTGGCTCCTTACTACCTCTAGGGTAAAATATAAGTTTCTTGGCACAGTATTTAAAGGCTTTTGCCATCTGGAGTCATCTTCCTTTTTCAGATTTCTCTCCTAGTATTTCCATGGCTTCATACACTAAACTAAACTGCTCCCTACACTCACCAGGTCATCTCCTGCCTCCACGTATTTGCACAGATCATCTTACATGCCTGGAATCCACACCCTCCTCAAGTCACTTTCTCTCAATACTCATCTTTTCTTCAAGGATCAGTTCAGGTGCCACCACCTTCAAGAAGGATTCCCTGATGTCCACAGTAGTTAATTTTCTTTCTTTCCTCAAATTGCACAGTATGTACTCATATGCGTGCATATTATATCACCTAGCATAGTATCTTGTACTTAATAAAAGTTTATTAAACTGAATTTAATTAAAGGAATCTTTGGGGAACATGAGCCTAAAGATTAGGAATAGATCCATGCACAATCCAATACAAGGCATTAATAAAGCTAAGGGTGCTGCCATCATTACACTGGGGATTGGCTACCTCAGGCAAATATACAGGACTCTGAACTATTCTTTAAAAAATAAAATATAAAAAATAAAAAACAAATAAAATCTTTATCCCTGGATGAGCTGTGTAATTCCATAAATAGACCTGGAAGATGCAGTAAGGTAATGTTATAAGAAGTCTTCCTCCAGGAATTAGAAAAGAGTAACCAAAGGAGATACTTGCCAGTTTATTGTCTGAAGAAGTCTGCAGGGGAGCCATTTATGAAGCCAAGGTAATATTTGTTGAGCCAGAGTCTTCTGCAACTAAAGTTTTCTAGGAAGAAATGAAGTACTTTTCAATGCTACATCAAGTCTTTCACGTTTTCAGGTAGCTATTTGCCCATCGAAGCAGTAACTTGCTAAAAAGCCCTTTCATGGAGAGAAAATTAATGCTATTTCCCAAAGGATTGAACTTGGGATCAGGTAGAAAATGGCACCTGCAGAGAATCTGGATGTCTTGGAGGAAAGAATGTGCTAGGCACTGACATTAAATAGTAAACTTGCTTTTTGGTGCCATCCCCTGAAATTTTCCATTGGGAAGAAAAACAGCAAAGAAAAATTAAGAATTTGCCCAAATGGAAAGAAATACCTACTATTCCTCTAACCCCAAACAGCGTTTGGTTTAAATGAAGGGAAGGCCTAAGGAGAGGCAGCATGGCATAGTGGAAAGGGAACTAATCTTGTCAGAAAGACCTGGAGTTAAAGTCCCACTGATGATACAGATTTGATGTTTGACCATGGGTAAATCACTTAGCTGGTCAGTGCCTCCAGAAGGCTAAGGCTTTATGGCACTACTGAATTGCACATTAGCATGATCTGCATTGGTGGGGGAAGCTTCCATACTGGGTGATCCATGTTCTGTGTTAATGAGGGAGTTTCCACACTGCAAACTCTCCACGCTGATTAAATTACAGGTCTTCCCCTCCCTCCACCTCCACTCTCAGATTCCTCCAGGGTTCCAAAGTCCACAAGTGAGAATTATTAATACATTCCAATAATGAAACTATGACCACCCCAGACTTATCAGAACTCACTGCTATTTATCTTCATGAACAGGACTAAAGCCAACCTCTGTCTGACCCTAATGTGAAAAAGAATAAGCTGTAATAGGAAAAATAATGGATAAAAATTGGCACTGTCAGTACCCTAAGACCTAGTCAGATGCCAGTAGATAGGCTTGACACAGACAATGATAAAACTGGCCCTCTGTTCTTGATTAATAATTAACCATTTTCCTTGCAAATACCTTCTGTCAGTTTTAAAGAGGGAAAAAGAGCTGATAAGGAAAAGAGTTTCACCATATTGTTTCACATTTATCAGCATACAGGAAATAAACGGCATCAATAAAAGACCCTACTGAGTATACCAGAAGCCAAGTGGCTAATAAGCAGGGGTATTACATTCAAATGATCCCTAAAGCCCATGCCCCAAATGTTACAGTCTGGAATAAGTGAGGCTGGTGATAAGTCATATTCCCAAGGGATAGTGGTGACTTCTGGACAAGATTCTACACAGTGCAATGATCTAAATCTGAGTCTTAGCCTTTTCTGTGTCCTGGGCCCCTTGGTCAGACCCCTGCCCAAAATAATGTTTTTAAATGCATAAAATAAAATGCACAGAAATACAAAGGGAGCCAAAGGTTAGTGAAAACAAAGATGTAATTTTTTTCCCATCCAAGTTCATGGGCCTCCTGGAATTGACCCCAGGGATCTGTAGACTTCAAGTTAAGAACTGCTGATCTAGCCAAACTAAGTGGATCTGCAGGCCCTTCCTAAATCTAGTTCATTTAAGCCGCAGCTGGAATCCAGACCCAGTTAAACACATGCCACAGGCCCAGGAATAGTTCAAAGGCTTCAGAGCAGGTCAAACAAGGAGACAGTTGACCCAAAACCAGCTTTTGCTTTTACAACGACAAAGTTCACAAACCTTGCAGGGGATTTAGTCATAAAAGCACAAGTACCTATTTTTCAAAACTTTTATACCTGTTATTTTCTGATTTCATTTGGCAGTGATCTTACAGGAGAGGTAAAATAAGCTCATTATCTCCATTTTACCAATGGGGAAACTGAGGCAGTGAAGTGAAATGCCTTGATCAATGCTATGGTTAGTTAATGATAAGACTATAGTTCAGATCTCCTGATTTCCGGGCCAAGATTCTTCTCACTAGAGCAGCTGTTCTTAACCCGGTTTCTTAATATATTGATAATTACATTTCAATATAACTGACTTTCCCTGTGATCCTATGTATTTTATTTTATGTATTTAAAAACATTATTTCTGAAAAGGGGCCCAAGTGGTCCATGGCATAAAAGAGGGTAAGAGCTCCTTTCTTAGAGCAAACTATTTGAGGTAGCACCTGACCAGTACCTCCAAAAACACAATAGTTCAGGGGAATTTGAGAGCCCCTAGAGGAATGAGGTTCAAGTTCATTGTCAAACTAAAACGCAGCAGCCATGTCCTTCTACTCATTAAGACACTGCCAGGACCATCTCCAAAGAGGGGAAGCTGCTACAAACAACATAGAGCTCACTCACTCTTCACATGTGTCCCCAAGAAAAACATATTCTTCCTATAATAGCCTCTCAAGACTCTAGAACACCCATCCCACTTTCCCTTCCAACTTCCCATGTCACCTCAGAGAGTTCACTTGTTTCCTATTTACATTTCCACAAAAGGAATGCAAGAGATGAAGCTGAGTCCCATCATAAGCATGAAGTACTAAGTCTAGAAACTTGCAGACAGCACGCATAATTGAGATAAATTACATCTACATGGTAAGAAGGGCAGTGTTGCATAATGGATAGAGAGTCAACCTTAGAGTCAGGAAGACCTAGGTTCAAGTCTTACCTCTTACATGTACTAACTATTTGACCCTCAGTAAGTTCCTTAATGTCTCAATGTCCCAGTCTTTGTGGTAGAGAGTGTTTCAGTAAAAGTTCCCTATAACAGTGAAATCATAGTTCTTGTCCAAAATATGCATATATATATATATACAAACATATATATTACATATATATGATATTGAAAGGCATTAGAAAGGCTACACTATCCAATAAGATCTTCAGGTAGCAATTAAACTACATTACCACGAGGATCAATAAATCAACAAGTATTTATTAAGCACTTATTATGTACCATGCACTGTTTGACATTGAGGATTCTACTACAACGAATGAAACAATTTTTGTTCACAAAGAACTTACATTCTAGGGTTTCTTCTAACTCTAAGATTCTCTGATCTCCCCTCTACTCTATCACAATGTAATTCTACTATTAACAATGCATTCCTTTAAGTCAAAGCACCACCACCTAGCATCCTCTTTAAAAATACATATACCTTAATGTGAGAAGGAATAAACTGTAACAGGAGGTGGGGA